TTGCTTCTGATGTCTGTAGATCTTCTACATCTTGCTGATCTCAACGACAGCATTTTGGCGTTTGGCCACTGAGATGACATAACGTGTTTAAATAAAACATAATCTGATCATTGAATGTTGTAAATAATTTTGGCAACGAGGAGTGAAAAGTCCCCGTTCTGGCATTTTCTCTTTTTTTTTGTGGCACTTCTTCTTTCTCTGTATTTCTTTATATTCCAACAGAAACACAAAATCAAATGTGGGTTTACTTTAGCACAGCTGTCAGGTGGAAAGGATGTTTCTAATCATTAATGCATTTTTGTTTAATCAGCTGGATCTACTTTTTTTTAAGGGCATTTAATTTCACTCCAAGATCCAGAAAACAATAAACCAACGTACCAAACCAGCCGAGTGTAAACATTTCAAATGCGGGAAAAGGTGAAATGCTGCTTTTCACGTTTTTTACAATAATATATAATATAATATAATATAATATAATATAATATAATATAATATAATATAATTTATAGCACAACATTCTTAGTTTCCTCCTTCAGATTCTGTGTCCTGAAAACTTAAAATTTTGCAGATTATTTGTATTTCAGATATTTATCTCCAGCGTGACACGTCGTTCTTTTTGGCTTTTGGGCTCAAATAATACAGAAAATCCAAGAATGCTAACTTTATGTCGATTTTATTCAAATCCAGAGCTTCATGGCGTGTTGAAATGTGCAGATCTGCAGCTGTGTGTTTATCCAAAGCCGCACAGTTTTTGATGGTACAGATTATCCCACGTGAACAGATGTGTGCGACCGACAGCGCCCTCTGTTGGCCAGATGTTGTGTTCGTACCAACTTTCATTCAAACACGCTAAAAGTGTTCAAAATGATTATTTTTTAGGTTCATTGGTAAATAAAATGAATAATGAAACCTGTCCTCACAACATCTAACGTCCTGATGTTCTGTGTCCGACTCTCAGGGCCAGAGCTCAGGTGAGGCCATCTTCAGCGCCGGATCCATCACCTACATCGTCATAGCAACCGTCTCCTGCCTCCTCCTCATCTTCAGCCTCCTCGGCTTCCTGATCTGGCGCCGCAGGCGGAGCTTCAGCCTCAACGGCAAGCTGGGATTGGCCAACGTGATCGCCCTGGAGGACCTGCAGGACCCGGAGAGGAACTGCGAGCTGCTGTCGTCAATCCGGCGCAGCAAAGGGCAGCTGCCCAGCTCCAGCTCCGAGCAGGACGTGACGGACGGCGTGTTCCTCATGGTCTACCTGCCCTCGCCGTACGAGCAGACCCTCACCAGGATCGCCAGAGCTGCCAGCACCAGCAGCTCCAAGGACTTGGAGCTGCTGCCGCCGAGTCCTGGTCCGGAGACGGGCTGCAGAGAGGACGAAGACGAGACGAGGATGAACAACAAGACGATCGTAGAGGAAGAAATCAAGGATTGAATCAAAGGAGAAACAAGAGAAGGATGGACCAGTGAAGGAAACCAGAATCAAACCTTCTTAGCTACCGAGACTAGACCACAAGTCTCTCTAGATCTTGCAGTCGACACAGAAGAATCGGCCCTGTCCTGCTGCACCAACACCCTGTACATCGTTTTTTTATACAGAACACACTGTCCGTCTTCAAACCTCCCTCTGGATGATTCCTCAGCGAGTCTCCTTTTAACGGATGAGTTTAAACCTGCTGAACGCTCGTGACTCTGCTGCAGAATGTCCTTCTCTGTTACAGGAAGCAAACCACAGACTGAGAAACGGTGCAGAATCAAGTGAAGTGTGTTTTTTCACGCCGTGCATCATTCCTCATACATCACCTGGACAGACAGTGTGACTCGTTGGCCTCTTTTGTTTGTAAAAAGTGTACATCTGGATTGAAAGCACTCTATTTTTTACTCATATTATCATAATTCTGTGTGTTTTATGTGTAGCACAGCTTAGCATCCTTTTAGAATTGTGTTGAGCATCAGTGATAGTTCATAGTGACAGAACAACCTTTACTTTATAATGCTGGTATTTGTATTTGTTTCTACTCTGGGGTATATTTTTCGTCTCACTGTTTGACCTCTGGATACAATAAAAAGGAGACTTTTCCAACACTGTTCCCAGTGTTTTCCTCCTCACATGATGTCTGACTACATTAAAAGTAATTTCTCCAAAGTAGTGTAAGAGTCAAACCTTCATCCTGAACTGGCTTCGGTTATGTTTAACTGGCTGAATGCAGTTTCTGGGCATTCATTCACATTCGTTTACTCACTGTGGGATCATTGTTCGTTGCAGTATAAGGTCTTATCTTCAACAATGACTAGAAAGACACAGTTATCTCATCGATTAAATATCCTCAGACTTGTTACCAAAACTGAAAGCTGCAGTGACTCCACATACTGTAGATATTTAACTTCTACATGTTTCATTTGTTCCTGTTGGCTCTGAGTAAACACTGCCTGTAGTTCAGCACAGAAGTCGTTGATTTTTTAATGATGTCACTGTTGGTCGCAGCTAATTAATAATCGCTCCACAGTCGTGCCGAGGAACGCAGATGTTTTTGGTTTTTTACAGAATTTGTTTCGTGCAATCGGGTCATTTTTTGGCTAATTTTTAAAGAGACCGGCAGGATAAAGTGATTCTAGGCTTAGATTTGGATCCTTTTCCCAACTGAACAGCAGATCACATGAAGAGCAGCTGAAAGACTGTTGGAAGGTTGAAAATGTGACAAATTTTTCTGTTTTTATAGTTTTCTGTTCTGATCAACAGCGTTATATTATTTAAAACGCTAACACATCTTTCAGGGTTTTCGAGGCTTCAACTGATGTGAAAAGTCCAATGAACAGAACTTGAAACCTGATTATTTATCATTTACTGAGGAGGAGTGTAAAAGCAGAAAACCACACGGTTATTTTCTGTTTTTTCTTTTATAAGGAAGGCAGTAAAATAAAACGTCTGACCTGTAGCACAACACAGAAGTCATCTTTTCACCAGCTGAGAACTGAAGGTGACTCGGCCTCAGACATTTCCCTGTTTGGTTCCTGACAGCAGTTTATTGGAATTTAATTACATGCTGCAGCACAGAAACATCATAAACACGACAACAGCAAAGCCACAGCGTATAGAACCGACGCTTTAAAACAGGAATAACAGGCCGAACTAAGGAAAGCTCGGTGTCCTTAAATCTTCCTTCAGGTGCTGCAGAACTTCTTCTAATCGTTCCAGACACACCTCAGGGGGTTTTATTAACCCTAATTAACCGCTAATCCAGAGCCAAGAGCTCATCTACAAGTCATCTGATGCCGTTTTCACAAGTATGCCAAAATACACTGACAGCTAATTTATCTAAATTTAAAATAATGTGTTTTTCTCTGCACTTGATCTACGTTGTTGTGTTTTAATGTCTCCTCTTACCTTGCAGTTACCTGATTTACTTTTGACGCTACATGAGGTAAAGACTCATGACGTATATGTCCACCTTTTACCTCCATTGAAGTCGGAGCTGGGAATGATTTCTCACCCGAGTTGACCACATTCCAGTACGTCAGTGGACAAACCCAGAACCTGCCTCCAGGAAACCTTCGTTCAGCCATCGTGATGAGACCCCGTCATGTGCTATTTCATATAGATGTTGGACTGTACTGTGTGTGACTGATCTAATGAAATACAGATAAACAAAGTACTAGTATACAGTACAGCAGTACAGTACAGCCATTGTGGGGTTTGAGGTCAGGGTTGACGAGGTTCAGATTTCAGACTGGGAGCTTCCCAGTTCTAATGGAACTAACTAATACTAAACAGTGCCTATAAAACGTATTCATCCCATCCTGGACGTAACTGCACCATGAGGACAAAAGACACTCCAAGGGGTGGATGAAGATCATTTCCAAGTCCCTGAATATTCCTCTGAATCCAATTAAATCCATCATAAAGAAATGGAAGAATATGACACATGTGTCAGTCTGCCTTGAGCAGGTCGTCCTCAATAACTGAGCAACCGAGTAAGAATGAGACCCGTGAGAGAGGCCACCAAGACGACTATGACTCCTCCAGGGGAGTTAAAGGCTTCAGCAGCTGAGATGTGAGCGCATACAGCAACTGCTGCCTGTTATTGACCAGTCAAAGCTTTACCAGAGGGGGAAAAAGAAAAAGACACTACTGAGAAACTAGACTCTCAACTAGAATCCATGACATGAAGCACGGTGGTGGCAGCATCATGACGTGGAGTAAAATGAAGGCAGCAAAGTATATAAAAGTCCTGGAGGACAGCCTGATGTAGTCTGCAGGAGAACTGACACTTGGGAGAAAATGTTTTATTTGTGTTTACAGCAGGACAATGAGCCAAAGCAAAGAGTCAAAGCTGCTCAGATGGTTTAAAGACAACAAGGTGAATGTTTGTTGTCAGGGTACTGTAAAGAAAAATGGGGTAAAATTGCAAAATAATTGTGTCCAGATGTTCAGGGAACCCTAGCCCTGTCCACTCAGTGCTGTAATCACCTAAGATGCATCCATTAAATACTGACCGTTTGATTTGACCATGATTCAGTAAAGAGGAAGCGTTCCATGGGGGGTGAAGGCTTCTCAGAGGCACTGTGATGATGTTTTACATCACAGCGCTGCATGTGCACGGCCACGCTGTCTGCTCTGGTGCAGGACAGCAGCACATGTGCAGAGGGGGAGGATGCAAATCTGGGCCCCAGGCCAGCACTGCAACAACGAGCGGCGGCTTGCTGTTTGAAAAGCTGCTGGTGTCAGGTTTCAGTGTGATTCTAACCATTTCCTGCTCACATCAGTACAGTGGAGCTGTTCAGAGTCTTCCTGTTCAGACGGTTGGGTGTCATTTTAGTTTACGTTATGCAATTACATACAGGATGCAGTGTTCTCATTTCTTCTACATTCCACACTGCTGCTGCCTGAGGCCTCCTTCATGGCCACGCCCCTTCACTGCCTGAGCATACAGTCGGTCTGCCTACTTGGTTATTCAGGTTGAGCCGGTGCTAAAAGCAGCGTCTGCACTTTGCGGCGGACAGCCAGCATGGCTCTCAACATCCCCGGACTGATCGCTACCATCGTCTTCTACCTGCTGGTGCTTGGGATCGGCATCTGGGCTTCCATCAAATCCAAAAGGGATGAAAACAGGACGCAGGCTGATCATGCAGACATGGCTCTGCTGGGAAACAGAAAGATCAGCTTGGTGGTCGGCATCTTCACCACGACAGGTGAGTTCATTCTGGGCTGTATGTACAGTTATATCAGAGAGTATTCAGACCCCTTTATGCTTCTTATGTTCTGCCATCAATCTACCATAAATAACCCAGAATTTAAAGAGTAGTGCAGATGTAGTAACCCTCAGATGACCTACCAACGCCTACAGTCTTCCATGAGTGGAGTCAAAAATGGCCCCAGTTAGAATCAATGCATTTTTGCAATAAACTCAAGAAATGTCTTTAATTTTGGTCACAGATGATAATTTTTATTGTGTTTTGATCAACAAAAGAGTGATTTCATTTTTGACATGCTCATTTATCACTTTTTATAAAAACGTGATCCATTTCCTCTTCGGAGGACTCATCAGAGGACTCATCAGAGGACTCCTTCGTGTCTGACTTCAGCGATGGGAGCTTGGTTTCCAGGTGGTCTGACATCTCCAGGTGGACAATAGTCTGGGTCCTCTACACCTGACATGTCAGAGCCTAAGTCGACCCCCTCCATGGACTCTTCAGCCCATCCATCCAGGATCTTTTGTGAGGCAAGGTCATCAGGAATCCTAAATACCAAAATGCCACCCCTGAAGTAAAGCATGGTGGTGGCAGCATCATGCTTCTTAGCAGCAGGGACGTGGAAGAAGGGCCCCATTTGAATGCACAGAAGTCCTTTAAGATGAGTAGAGGTGACCTGAAACTAGAACAATGGTTAATTTCACAGACAAGACGTATAGAGTGGCTTCAGGACAAGTCTGTCAAGGCGTAAACCCATGAAAACATCTGCAGAGAGACCTCAGGATGAAGTTCACAGATGCTTCTCATCACATCTGATGGAGAAAATCTGCATGGAGAGCTGGATAAACCCCCCAAACCCTGCTGCAAAACACCTCCATGTCATATGACTGAGTCTAGACTGATGTGGAAAGTAGAGATTGTATTTATTTAAGATTAATACGACACTTTACAGTGTGCAGAAAGTGAACGGTCTGAATACCTGCTGAAGTGACTGTGAGGTGAATGTTGAGACTATTACATTCAGTTTTTTGTATTTTAAAAATGTGTATTAACTAACTAACCCTAACCCTAGCCCTAAAAAACAAACAAACTTCAAGTTTCTGGTCGTATCTTTCCGAGCTCACACAAAGAAGGCCACACACTCTGAGCAAACATGTCAGATGTTGTCCAGTAACACAAAAATTCACAAACAAATGCCTGCAATGCTTGAAAAAGGGACGATCATTTGGGATAAACTGTGTGCCGTGCAGCTACCTGGGTCGGAGGAACCTTCATCATCGGCACCGCTGAGACGGTTTACGACCCGAAGCTGGGCCTGATTTGGGCCGTGATGCCGCTAGCAGCAACGCTGGCCTTCGTTCTCGGTAAGGTTTGAGTTCTTTTAACTAGCGGTTGGAAAACTAAGCAATATGTGAGCTTTAACGCCTCAACTGTCGCTTCAGAGTTACGCATTAATCAACACTTTCAATCTTCTCATCTTTGACTTCAGCTGCTGAGTTTCAGCTGTTCAGTAATCAGCGTTTTAAAGTTGTTTCAACAAAGCAGGAAGAACAACTTTTGTCTTCTTATTTGAAGATACTTAAACTACAAAACACTATTAAATAAAATGAAGAACGTAAATATACGCCATTCTTATTATTGTTATTATTATTATTATTATTATTATTAGGAAATGCCATCCATCACAACATAATTTTGCTTCTTCATTAATATCACTTTGGTTAAAAACAGTCCTCACTGTTCTATTTGCTGCTTTAAAGTCATGTTTGAACGTTCAGGAGGTTTTTTAGGGTTTTTATTTGATGTTTTATGTTTGTTTTGTAGAAAGATTGAACACGTGAAGAGATCAATAACAATACGTTCATGTTTCCCCTTTTCCTGTCCAGGTGGCCTTTTCTTCGCTGAGCCGATGAGAGACAGGAAGTACGTGACCATGATGGATCCGTTCCAGATCAAGTACGGAAACGGGCTGAGCGGACTTCTGTCGGTGGCGCCGCTCATGTCAGAAATCATCTGGGTGACGTCGACACTGATAAGTTTGGGTAACGTGTTTCTCTCTTTGCACGCTCTCCAATGAACCGCTAGCTTTGGC